TGAAAAATTTCATGAGGTCAGAATAATACTAAGAATTTCAGAGAGGAATTGGTTTCATTATCTTCTCACATGATCTCTTCTTTCAGAGAGAAAGCTCAGCCCCAGGTCTCCACCTATCATTTCCCCAACATGTTTTAATTGAGGTGATTAATTTATACACCTCCTTAGGGAGCTCTGATGGCCTAGTGGTAAGAAGCTGCATGGCAATCCCAAAGGCACACGCACGGTTCGACGCACCAGCTGCTCTGCGGGACAATGATGGGCAGTCTCCTCCCGTGTGACTTAACTGTCTCTGAAAACCTGCTGGAGAGTCAGCTATACGTTCGTTCTGACTCGATGGCACAACGACGACGACAACAACAACAACAATGTATACAGGAACATACAATAAAGATCTTTATTTAAGAACACTACCTAAACTATTGAATGCTTTGTCTTTGGTAGATTAAAAACTCACCTAAAAAGTAAAATCACTTCAAGATATATGCAAATGTGAAACTTTTAATGTGTTCTGCTGATCAAACTGTCTACTAGTAGCTTTTAAATATATATAAAATTGTAGCTCACCTAGACCAGATGGAAGTAACTCTTTCTGGAGGTCTTAAGGTTTGTATTCAGTGATGCCTAAAGGTAACTGGATACTAGATAAAAAGATTTTAGCAACCGAATTTCAAAAAAGTAACAAAGTGATAAATGTTTAGTAAGAGTAAAAGTATTCTGTTTCTGAAAACTTATTTAAGTGCCAGCAATATGGCCAAATTTGACTTGAACTGAGAATAGTAACATTTTGCTGAACTTGAAGTTTATTCCTCATGGAGATATTCAGAATAGTTAGAAGCATTAACTCGGGGTCTGGGAATGTTGAATTGTAGATTTGCTACTTCCTAACTACATGATCTTGAGGAACCCAGGGAGTTCAACACTGTTCACTTTGGAGATTCTTCATTCCAGTGGTCCCACTTGACACCTAGCTGAGGAAAGTGAAACCAGTGTTTGCCCATGTGTGTAGAGAGGGCAGTCTTGGTGTAGTGCTCTTTCCTATTGTGTCATCTTGTTCCGGTTCTGACATGCACATCTATGAATACACTACGAGAGTGGAGTAGTGCTTAATGCTTTTAATAAGGTTTCAACAAAATAAAAAGTAGTAAAATTCTACATTTTTTGCAAACACCATTTCACAGTCAAGGAAGATCAATACAGCATTAAAAAAACCAAAAGAAATCTGGAAAATGCCCCACAAACAAGATGATTTTTTTCCCCCCACAACTTTGGTTAGAAGTTTCTATGATATTTCTCTTCAAAAACACTGAGCAATGGAAAAACTTTCTCATGACGGTACTGAAGGCTTCTCTCTTACTCTTTCACTAATCTTTGCTTATAGCTGAGGTATCAGGGCTTGTCTGTGTTGGAGGTAGACTTTGTGGGTGTAGGTATGTTAATGAGATTCTCAGATTTTCTCTTCAAGTTTAACAGTTTAAGGGAGAAAGATTTCCATAATGGAAGAAACAGATGGTTCAGTGTTCATTAGTGGAATGATCATCATTAACAATATTACCATAAGTGAGAAGCAAAATAGCTAACATGTATTGCATTCTGTGCTATCAACTTCATATTAACTGAATCCTTTAAGTTCAACCCAACCATATCCATGAGAATGAACTTCCAATGTAAGCCTGCTACAGTCTGGGGAGAAGCAAACCGAAAAAGTTAGGCTCACAAAAGTGAGCTGGTAGGAACTGACCCCTTGCTAACACAGCACCTCCTTTCTAAACTAATGAGCCCAGATACAACGTGGGCCTAGGTTACTGATACTCATTGATTCTTTATATTTATTCTCACTTTGGAACACAGCAAATCAAAAGTAAATGGAGGAAACATTCTTAATCCATCCTACTCTCTTTCATAACTCTTCTTCTGGTTTAGGCCAAGAGAAGAAAACCTTGGATTTGCAAGTGGATATGGTTTACAGCTGGTCTGAAAGATAGAACACCTGTTAAACCAGGTCAGCGTCAACTCTGTCCTACTGGTTCTGAGGAAAACTACGGCCATCTTCATGGAAGGATGCTTCACTATTTTAGCAGGTTTGTCAGATATTACTAAATGTATTTAATATGTGTGTATATATATATATACACAGAAATATTTAATAAGAACCTACTACAACTTATGGCACAGAACAGCACTTGATAAATGTTTTCTTCCTAACTCTCTAAGGAGGACTGTAATGGACAGTATTTAGGATGTTGAGATACAATTCTTTTATTTCTTCAGATATCATTGAAGATTTCTTCTCCTGATTTTTTATTATCTTGGCATAATCACTCATTTAGAACTAGGACAGTTTGTGTACATGAAACGGTGAAAAGCAATTTGAGGCTGATGAGAGGTATCAACAGAAAGATTACTGCCTCTGAATCAGTTATTGCTACTTCTGAAAATGATAAAAAATTGGAAAAGATCCCAGTAATTCTAAATGCCAATTACGTCTTGAAACTGTTCAATGACTCTATTTAAAATGAAAAGCATTTTTACTTAGTTAAGCAGCAGGTTCTGCCCAGTGGTTCACCCAGGTTATACGTCCGTTTCATTAAAGAGTTGACAAGAAAATTTACCATCTGTTTTCTACAAACCAAATAGCCTTTAGGTGCTGAGCAAACGAAAGGAAACTGCATGTATTCATTAGTGTCTGTGTCTTTAAATAAAACCCTAACATCATTATAGGGATCCAGATCAGAACAATATGCAGCTTTGAGTCACATAGTGACTTAATATATTGTGTGTTGTTTCTATACAGATGGAGACATGACAAAATCAATATTCAATCAGCAAACAAAATTATAAATGTGCAGGAAGTGAAAAAGGAACACTAAGTTTTAAGGCAGCATTGGTTGTGTCTTCGCTGGAAAAGTGTTAACAGATGAACAGTGAATAAATCTTAAAAAATAAATACTAATTCTTTTAGAAAAAGAAATTGAACTGATTTTAGAACTTTTGCAAAACTGGTATTGGAACTGAATTTAGAAACCATACATAGGAATGTGGTATAAAATTAAAGCAGTATTTCCACAAATACAAAATAAAGATTCCTGGAAATTATTACTGTTAATTCACACACTTTGTGCCCCTTTTTCATTACTGCTGCATTCAGAGCAGTTACAATTAGCTAATTCTGCTGATGCGTAAATAACATGGTCAGGTTGAATATTACCTGAGTGAAAATGGTTTTAAATGGCATTAGTAAGCTGTCATCATGCTCACATTTCACAACTCTGTCCCTATGCTTGGTTTGCTTAACTGGTGGGCTGCCTAAATCACTATGTCTCAAGCACTGGTGTCAGCCTACAACAGTGACATCTATTGCAGCCCAAAAGCCATACTTTGACAAAAATATGACTTTTTTCAAAGCTCTTTAATAAACATATTTCAGGACTGATCTCTTTGTAGCTGGTTTTGTTAACTTTCCTGGTTAAGTCTGAAGGTTACCTTATTCGCTTTACAGAGCCAGTGTTATGGAAGAATCATACGATACAAAGAATAGGGTTTTTTTTTAAAAAAACAAGTTTTTTAAAAAAACCTACAAAAAAATCCTCTTTAAAAAGTTCAAATGAAAGTAGTTTCTGCACGGTGCTTGAGAAAAAAAAACTGTAGGCACTTCTGCTTCAGGAGGTTTTGACATCTTAATCAGACTGCTGTTCCAAACCCCTTTCATCACTGGAAATTCTTTCACGGTAAACCCATCCGGGTCACTGGAAACCCTGCTCTCACACACTCTCTTGGAGCATCAATCTTCTTTCATAAAATCGTCTCCTGAACCCAGTGCCAGTGACAAAAAGGAAATACAACTGACAGCCAAGGAAGCAAAGGAGGATGGAGCCTCTGGGTTCAACTAGCCATCCCCACTGGACCCACCTGAGAAAACACTTTGCAGTCCAGAGGGGAGCAAATGATAGGAAAATATCTTCTAACAGAGCAAGAAGGCAAGCAGCTTTAACCCAAGACCACCAGTAAGGTGATAAAGCGTCCTCCCTTCCCCCCTTTACATCTACGCCCCTGTTCAGCATGAAGAAGCCAGAGAGTCGGCATCCAATTCCC